TAATTGCTTTTGGAACTAGTCATCGATATTGCTTCGTTGAGGAGGAGATACGACTTAAAGCCCGGACACACATTCATCCATACATTCATACATTCATCCATTCATTCATCCATCCATTTCCAGAAATGACGAGTTAATAAACGCATTTCTCCAGAATGGAAATTGCGCTAAAAAGACATTACATAGGGGTAAAATTACTTTTTATTAGTTGTTTTGAAGTTGGAATTTTTTTTTTTTGATAAAGTCCAATGTGTTCGGTAAAACACGGATATTTAAAATACTGACTTTTATTTATTTTATACTGTTTACTTATTACTATTTTTAATCAATAACAGTTTAGAAGCCGCTCCTAAATTTGCTTTATCTTTACTTCTATCTTTCATTTTGTGGAAAAGATAGGGGTAATTATAGTCGTTAATTTAATCGGATCAGGCAAGTCCGCCAGCGCCCTGGCAAGGTTGGATTTTGCGACCTTGTCTATCCTGTGAGCGCTATGGTGTATACGTTCGTTTTAAACAGTGTGATGGCCTATAGATAATAAAAAGGTTACTATAGTGTTTAACTTAATCGAATCCGGGCGTCCTCCATCGCCCAACCGGATTCTATTTAGTGCCCCGGGGCTTCGTGTGTTGGCTATGGCGCCTACGTTTGTTTAAGTGGGTGCAAAAGACTATGGATAATTTGGGGTATTATAGTCGTTTACTAAGTGGAATCAGGTGGTTCCACCGGCGCTCCAGCTGGTCGCAATTTAGCCTTCTGGGCTAGACTGTTAGCACTTTGCGTTTCTGTTTGCATTTAAGTTTGTGTTTATTTTTGCGTTTACCTTTGCATTATTTTGAGTTATTTTTACTTTCTCGTATAAACGAAGTAAAGAGAAAGTATTGTAATCGTGCAAAAAAAAAAATCGAGATTTTTACAAATCTCGACGTTTTACATCTCAATGATACGGAAAAACATAATTTTGCAATCTTGTCCGTATGTCTGTGTGTCTGTCTGTGTGTCTGTCTGTCTGTGTGTGTGTGTGTGTAAACACGATAACTTGAGTACCGTTACAGCTAGGTTGATGAAATTTCATATATAAGTATTTTATCAAAATCGTAGATCCGTATCAACTTTTGAGCGATTTCCGATAACCGGAAGTGGTAATTTTTCTACTTTGAAATTTTCAAAAGCCTATAACTTGAGTACTATTTCAGATAGATAAACGAAATTTCACATGTAAGTGAATGATCTAATTCTTTACCTTCTGTTTAATTTTGAGTCATTTCCGTTGAACGGAAGTAGTAATTTACGCTACTTCCGATTTCTCAAAAAACTAATGTAAATTTTTAAAGTACTAATAATATTGCGAACTATTATGCACTTTTTTATTTAGCGTTCATTTGGTGCGCAATTCTTTTGTCTATGAGATTTTATTCTATTTTTAAAAGTTTAAGTATTTAAAATGGATTAAAAATCATGTCTATAGCCCGAGTTCCCATCCCCTGTTATTTTATATTAAAATATTCGAGAAAGTTTAGGGGAGATCACTCCCGGTTTATTTGCGTTTATGTTTGCGTTTGTGTTTCTATTTGTTTTTGCGTTTGTGTTTGCGTTTGCTTTTTTGTTTGCGTTTGTGTCAGTCTTTTCTTTTTGTTAGGGTTTGGGTTTGCGTTTGTGGTTGTATTTGTGTTTGCGTTTGTGTTTGTGTTTACGTTTACGTTTGGATTTGGGTTTGGGTTTGGGTTTGGGTTTGGGTTTGTGTCATGCTTCTGTTATTTTTGCGTTTTGTTTTTTGTTGGTTGTGAGATTATTTGAGGGCTGGAAATTTTCTGTGGTGACGAGATCTGGGTGGTGACTGCATACATGCTTGTTGTTAGCTGTTGTGCTGCTTCGTCATGGTCAGACGTTGGCGTCTTCAGGACAGGGGCGGAACTACAGTGCCGCCAGACCCCGCAATGCGGGGGGGGCCCACGCCATTTAGGGGCCCATGGCCGACCATAAAAAAATTGTTATAGTTAAAAAAAAAATTTCTTGCGTTTTTGACTGAATGTTTGTTTTGTAAAAAAGATTACCGTAGCTGCGGTTGGATTATCTTTATTCTATAGACACCACCCCTTCGTCATTTTTCCTTCGTTTTTAAACCACTGTGAAAGCCGAGTCCTCTTTCTCCTACAATCAATCTTATCAAAGATAAGCAAACGTTCAAACCACTTCCATGACTTATTTCCCTTTTTAAATAGTCAAATAGTGATGCCCATAAGCCTCTTTTTAATAGATTTGTACTAAACAAATTAAAAAGCAATTACTTCTCTTTAATATTATTTGTTTATAAATTACTTACTAAAGAATGACACTGTATAAAAAGAAAATGTATTTAAAATTTATAAAATAAATACAAAAAAACATAAAAATAAACATGACACGAGACACCATTATTTACAGAAAGCTTTCATGTTTTATATTCTTTTGACCTAGTTAAATGTCGTATGGCCGAGAAAAATATATAGTTAATTTTCACAAAACCGACTAATTCACTTATACCAGGGGTCGGCAACCTTTTGAGCCAAAAGAGCCAAAAGTTACAATTTACAACATTACCCGGTTTTTAAAGAGCCACTAACATTTTTATGTGAATAATATATTTGTTTAGGATTATATATATATATATATATATATATATATATATATATATATATATATATATATATATATATATATATATAATCCTAAACAAATATATTATATATGTCATTTTAAATAAATAGCTTTGAATATATGAAATAATCTCATTTGAGTTTGTGCTGAGATGATCTACTATGTAAGTCAGAGTACTTGCATTTGTTTTGAATTGCTCAAATCTCTCAGTGAAAACATCCTTCATTTTGTTTATATTAATGTTGAAGTGATTGAATAGTAGCATTGGTTTCATAACGATATTTTTTTCAGATTTTTCGTAATTTAGTAATTTACCGCTCACCATGTATTCAACAAAAAAGTATTTTTTTTTCGAAACAAACCACTTCTTCAAGCAAGACATAGGCTGGGTTTTATTTTCAGTTTTACACTAATTATTAGCTATTTAGTTTATTTGTGATATCCACTGTTGAATGTTTCATTTCGGAATGGACAATGTAATAGGAAGTACATTGAGATAGGGAGTAACTAAATATTTTAATATAATAGTGAATGTTTATTGATTATATCTATTGTTATATCGTTTATTACCGAGTGTTGTAGACTAATATTTTTATGAGTTTTGAAACAAAAAAATTATTAATATTTGTGTATGGATCTGAAGAGCCGCAACTGGACACTAAAAGAGCCGCATGCGGCTCGCGAGCCGCAGGTTGCCGACCCCTGACTTATACACATGACATGGTGTTGCAATTTGTTTCAATTAAAATAAAAACACGTATTTCTCAAAACACGAACAGGCCAGCAATAAGTATCCTATGTTCGTATTTTGTGTTTGAGTATATATATATATATATATATATATATATATATATATATATATATATATATATATATATATATATATATATATATATATATATATATACATATATAGGCCTATATATTTATATGGGGGGGGGGCCTAAAAATTTTTTTTGCGGGGTGGCCCTTTTTTTCTAGTTCCGCCACTGCTTCAGGACCGTTGATTCAGATTTATCCATGACTGGGCTTTGGGGAACGGAGATGACTGGTTGTATTGCGATCCCTGTTGTAAAAGTCGTTGTTGATTTTGCAGTTGATCGTGGTGCTGGTTTTGGGGTTGTCTGCTGCGGCGTTGTTTTTGCTAGCGTTGTTGGTTGTTCTGCTGGGTCTTCCTGCTGTGGTGTGTCTGAAGGCGTTTGCTGGCAATGGTTCGTCCAGAGTAGGGTGGAGGAACAGATTTGACACGTTTGTCTTCTCCCGACGATTGCGATTAGGATAGTGAGTGATTTGTTTTTGTAGTTTATTTTGATGTAGTGTGGGATAGTTGATGGATTATCAGTGTAGACAGAAAAGCTGCCATTATTAGTGTTCGGAATTGTGTTTATGGATGGCTCTTTGTTACTGCATAGGCGTAGTGCTTGTATGAGTTTAGCGTTGTTTAGTGTAGGGGTATCCATTTAAGGGTTCCATTGATTTTGTTGTTTTCATGAAGTGAGAAATGCAGTGTATGTGGACCGTGTGTTTTGCTTGTTGTGCATTGTGGTGACGTCAAAGGCTTGTGAGGAGAAGTACCAGGTGTCAGCTCTGCCATAATTGAGTAGAATAATTTGATGTTTGCTGATGAGATGTCTTATTATATGACCTCGCAGGTTTGGTTGACCGCTTAAAGTTAAAAGAACTTCCATTGAAGGTGAGGCAGTTACAGATGAATAAAGGTCTGGACATATCCTCTTCGGTTAGATCTAGAGTTATTGTTGTTGACTTGGCTGCAAAGGATGGGGCCCAAGATTTCATTAAGCCACCCGAACCATAGTCCTGTTGACTCCTCTCCAAGTCTCTCGACCTAGAGGGAACAGGAATGGGCGCAAACCCATTGTTGAGTTTGGTAATCGTTGCATAATCCATAGAGATGATGACTCGATGAGTTGACTTTAGATATCTAACATATAAAGTTCAATTCTGTATGTTTGTAAATTGTATGTAATCGTGGATCATTTTAGATAAGTCCCATTATGGGAGCCTAAACTTTAGAATTAATGACCATCTCTTTATGTATGTATGTGACAGCCGACAGACGGACCCTTGGCATGGGTGGCATATAGTGAAAGAAAACTCGACTTGATAGCCATTGTATAATATTCTTAAAGTGTTTAATTATCAAAATTAATGATTAAAGAAAATAAATATTGATGATTTTGTAAAACAAGTTTCATTATATATATATATATATATATATATATATATATATATATATATATATATATATATATATATATATATATATATATATATATATATATATATATATATATATATATATATTTCACAAACATATATTGAAATTAAACACTACTCATGTATGAAAATGTATCTATTTAATTGGTTTACGATTGTACCATTAACTTAAGTAATTGTATTACTAAAAACAAAAATAATATTGACATATAAAATATGTATTTACAAGCTGTATCTATTGCTTATAAAACAACAAGATACAAAACAAAATAAACAAAAGCATCGTGTTTGGGATCATCTTAGAACCCGAGCCTAAAAATGACTTGGGGTCATAGGGGTCACATTGAACAGTTCTAAAGTCTGGGCGTTGACACTTGGACGGCCACAAGGGTCCGGACATTATGTCTTGTTGTAACTGGACGGTTGCACAGCCACACGATTCCAGGGCTGGTTTTACACAGCCAATGCCTACCTCAAAGGTCTTGCACATAATTTTATCAAGATCAAATGAAGAAGACCTGGCAATACCTGCGGCCTTACTAGAAGTACAAGTGGTTATACTTGGAGATTTGCTGGTAAGGCAGTTCTGGTTGATGACGCTGACATTTCTACAGCTCATGATTATCAGGTCTCTTGCTTTGCTCGGCGAGGGCATATAATCAGATATCGACACAGATTGCGATGAGGCGCAGTCTATGGCCAACTGTAAGACACAACTGATGGCGTTAGTGGAATTGTCAAGGTTGTCACAGAAATCTTTGTCAGCTACAGATAGTGAATTGATGTCGAAATTGGCAGGGAAACTCATCAGGTTGTTTGTAAAGCATTTTTCGATATCCTGATTTGTCGGAGGGCAGACAGAACAGTTGCCAAGACACATCAAACCTGTGGACAGTGTGTAAACAACCAGTGAGCTGAAGTAATATCACATATGTTCTAGTGAATGTTAGGTTATGTAACACCACGTATGTTCTAGTGAATGTTAGGCTGTGTAACACCACATATGTTCTAGTGAATGTTAGGTTACGTAACAGCACATATGTTCTAGTGAATGTTAGGTTATGTAACAGCACATATGTCCTAGTGAATGTTAGATTACGTAACAGCACATATGTCCTAGTGAATGTTAGGTCATGTAACAGCACATATGTTCTAGTGTTATATAGTTATAGAACATTTTATATATATACATGTATTTTTGTGTATGCGTGCGTACGTGCATGCGTGTGTGTGTGTATGTGTAATCTATTCATGTATAGTTGTTGTAAGAAAGGTGACACTGTGAGCCACAGTACCGCCCAACAATTACAAAATTTACTTCAAGAAACCAAATTGCAACTTGTCGAACAACAAAATATTTACTTCAAGAAACAAAATTATGGTACGTTCAGCTTTAACTAGATGTCAAATGCAACTCACCAGCAAAGACCAGCAAAGTCACATAAAACAGATCCATGGTCTAGGGAAACTCGTTAGGCTTTTTGTTTTCTCGTCGGGCTAATGTCTATCTCTGACCTATTGATTAATAGTCTACCAGAATGCAGTTGTTTTTATCGCAATTTACAATTTAAAATTAGACCTGGTGAATCAGAGATGAGGCAACACATTGCTCTTATCTTATCTTGGTTGTTCATTATCTTTATTTGATTTGGCTCAGTGACGTAGCGAGGTCCGGTGTCACCCGGTGCGGCACTTAATGGTGTCACCCCCAGAGGCCGTAGCAACCCTTCCCGGGGACAAACTTTGAATTTTCAATTTCCACCCCCCCTCTTAAACTTTTTATTTGCATCCCCCTCAATCTTTCGATTTGCACCTCTTTAAAGACTATTTAACACTCGAATTAATCACTTAATTAAGTGGAATTATAATTTTTCTCTCTATATTTTGCTATTTTTTGCCTTGGTGTCATCCCCCTAAATGGTGTCACCCGGTGGGGTCCGCACCTCCGCCCCCCTAGCTACGCCTCTGATTTGGCTACATACCTGACAATATGTGCAGTTGTCAATTGTGTTCTAACTAACTGTTACTGATAGTGATTAACGTACACTCAAAGCTTTCACATAGCAGGCCCCTGGGCGGTAATGTGGGCAAAATCGTGCTCCGATAAGTATGATAAAAAAATAATAGAAAACTAGGTCACGCGTCAATGAATATAGGATTGGTAATACACTGATAAAACCCTATTAAATAATTACGTAATACTCCTTTCTGTGACCGCGGTAGTGCTCAAACACATTTTGTGCCTCTGTGTGTGACAGCAGACGGACGGACCCTTGGCAGAGAGACATGTAGTAAAAAAAAAAAACTCTTGTTCGCGGTTGTGTAATATTCTTAAAGCGTATATTTGGCGCCCTTGTCTATCATGTGAGCGCTTTGGTGCATATGTTCGTTTTAAACAGTGCGATAGACTATGGATAAGAAAGGTTACTATTGTGTTTAACTAAATAGAATCCGGGCGTCCTCTGGGGCCCGACAGGATGCTATTTGGCGCCCCGGACCTTCCTGTGTTCGCTATGGCGCCTATGTTTGATTAAGTGGGCGTAAAGACTATGAATAATTTGGGGTATTATATTCGTTTACTAAGTTGAATCAGGCGGTGATTTGTTTTTGGTTGGTTGTGGTTAGGTTTATTTCGAAAAGTAATATATTTCCTAAACCCGGGCAATGCCGGGTTTGTGCTTCTTAATAAACACAAAAGTCATGGGCCTTCACAGACAGGTTTTTCACAAAAGCCATTTCAAGGCCTGGCCGGAACGGCTAGTGTATAATATATATATATATATATATATATATATATATATATATATATATATATATATATATATATATATATATATATATATATATATATATATATATATATATATATATATATATATATATATATATATATAATCTACTTTTAAAAATATATATATATATATATATATATATATATATATATATATATATATATATATATATATATATATATATATATATATAATCTACTTTTAAAAATACGCCCTCCTAGTTTGAAATTAGCAATCGCTGTCTGTGAACCAGTTATTCGCATGGACGAAGCACGGACTCACGTCTATGCCCGCAACAGATGCGCAGTGCGGACGAGCTCTAAGGAACCGCGTGACACGCACGTGAACCCGTACTCACCATCACCCGCAACTCGCCGTGTCTTCGAACAACTGTTTACCCCCCGTTTGATTGAGTGTCAAAGCGAGCCTCGCCTTGGTTTACATGCAAGCGGCCCACCTGGGAACATACACATCCTCCTCTCACGCGCACGGCGTCTCCGTTGGGGGATGCCGAGTGCTAACAGGCCGGGGGTCGTGACTTGGGGGTCGGGCTGGTTCCCATTTGCGCAAGCTGGGATCGCTCTGAGGGGACGTTTCGACTTGTGTGGCGGTGTGGTGAAGGGCATGGTGTAGTTGGTGTCTGGGGAGTTGCCAGGCAGTGTGGGAGACAAGTAGCTGGTTCTAGGTGGGGGTGTTAGTTAACTTTAAGTGTGGGGTTGTTAGATCGAATGATGATGTTGAAGATGGTGTGGTAGTTGATGTGGTGTGGTTTAGAGCATCGACGTGAGACATCCAAAATACATTAACCAAAATAAAACGGGGCTTTCATTAAGTGCAAGATCAAATTTTATTAGATTTGTTAAATTTTTAAAGAAATATTTTAAAAAATAATTAATTAATCATGTCAATATTTAGTTTATTTTGGGAAGAATTATAAAAAGAAAAACAAAACAATTCTAGTAATGCAAAAACTGAATACTATTTTGTTTTGTGCATAAATTATTTAAATACAAATTGTAATTTTTTTTTTAATTCATAGCAATTTTCATAGAGGTTCAACCCTGAATCACATAAAAAATATCAATAAATATGGTAAGTGATTGGCTATATGGACAGTACGATGTCCAGTCGCCAGTGGACTCGTGGTTCTAGAGACTGAGATAGCACAGCATCACACGCCGTGTCTACCTTGTGTAGCAAAATACTTTCACGCAAGTTACAAAAAACCGGCATTATAATCATCAAAGTGAATTGTATTTTTATAAAACAGTCTTATATTTAGTAATAGAAAATTTTGTAACATAGCGGTGAAGCAGTCTTTTATTTAATTGAAGAAAAGATTGTATATTGTACATTATTTAATTATGAATGCAACTTGTTTTAAGGATAGAAATTTCTGCTGTTTAGTGTTATAGATGATGTTTTGAGGTAAAAATATTTACTGTTTAGTGGTAGAAAAGTCTGTACTTTGTTTGTTGAGGTGTGTATTTTTAGGCGTGTATTATTTAGGCGTGTATTGTTTAGGTGTGTATTGTTTAGATCTGTATGGTTTAGGTGTGTATTGTTTATGCGTGTATTGTTTAGGTGTGTATTGTTGAAGTCTGTATTGTTTAGGTGTGTATCTTTGTGTGTGTATTGTTTAGGTATGTATTGTTGAAGAGTGTATTGTTTAGGTGTGTATCTTTGTGTGTGTATTGTTTAAGTGTGTAACTTTGTGTGTGTATCGTTTAGGTGTGTATCTTTGTGTGTGTATTGTTTAGGTGTGTATTGTTTATGCGTGTATTGTTTAGGTGTGTATTGTTGAAGTGTGTATTGTTTAGGTGTGTATCTTTGTGTGTGTATTGTTTAGGTGTTATCATCTAATGCTGAGTGTCATGAGTGTAAAGTTTATAAAAATCATACCTAAAGTCTATTTCTTGAAGCTGTTGTCCTTTAGTTTCCTTTATCTCACATCCACGACTTCTACGCGATAAATTCCAGCTAAAAAGTTGAACAAAAAAGAACGAATTGGCCATTAAAACTCCGGCAGCAGAGTAACAAACGGCAGGAAACCCCACCTCTCTGTCAGGGCGATCAAAATTTACACTAGCTGGTGTCAATGCCGGTGGGCCCTGATTGGTGGCCTGAAGGGCTGATGACGTCTTGATGCTGAGAGTTTATGGCCCCTGACTAGGCTTTTAAGGACATCTTCAAAGTCTGGGCTCCCTCCTGCATGTCTTATTATGCGTGATATCTTCCTCGTGAATTATCTCCCCTTCAGTGTGGTCGTTTTGAAATACGAGCCACCTTTCACTGGGGTGTGGTGGTGGTGGGGGGGGGGTTCGAGAATTTGTTTCTTTTTTTTTGTTGTTGTTGTTAGTGCATAGGCAGTCTGACTTTGGTTACACATAGTAGAAAGCGGCTTAAGGTTTTAGTTAACGTAATGCCGGGGCGGAACTACTATACCGACAGACCCCGCAAAATGCGGGAGGTGTTGGGGGTGTGAGGGGGGGGGGGGTGTGATAGGCCGTTTGTAGGGCCCAAATTCCGACCAAAAAAACTTTTCTCTTTGCACCTTGAAAGATTAGTAGTTTTGTAAATACAAACAACAGATCCAGAAATTATTTTTTTTTTGCGGGGCGGTGGGCTTGGAGGTAGGGGGGGGTCCATTTTTTCTAGTTCCGCCACTTACGGAAAGGTAAGGCTTAAGGATGGGGAATGGAAATTCTTATGAGCAATTCACAATGTGATTATCTTGCTTGTGATAATCTTCCTAATTTCAAAACTGCGGCTGCAAAACCATAATCAATACAGCTTTAATACAATTTGATAAACTAAGTGTGTTTGGCCAACCCAAATTTTATTTTGGAATTTAGAAAAACGAATTTTTGATGAAAAATAAAGAAAACAAATTCACATTAGAAAAAAAAAAAGCTTTTGTGTGTTTAACATTTTCTTTAAAGATATTAAAGTGCAATTAGAATATCTTTTTCATTATCTTTCGACATTAACGGGACCCTCTTAAAGCTAAACCAACTTTCGTCAGAACCTTCTACGAGCAGGAGTTGGGAAAGTAATTCCCAGCTTTTGAGGGCAGCGGGTGGAGCAGACGGCGCGGGTCCCGAAGCCGTGAGTTGCCGGCACTTAAGGAAAAATTTATAGGCCGTATCGCCGTGAGATGAGGCCCCGTGGGACCACTTTAGGCCCTTGAACGGCGTGTGGCGGTATGCGCGCGCCATTACTGCGCGAGATTCTCGCGAGATGGGGATTTTGTTGTTTTAAAAGGTGGATGGGAAAGAAAAATATAGTTTAAAAATGAAGGGAGGATGTGTAAAAGTATTATAAAATTATTTTTCTTTTCTAACGAATAAAAATATTATTACTTTTTTTTAAAAGGCGGGATATTAACCTAAACAGCAGACGGATTTTGAGATGCTTTAAGTTTTTCAAGTTCAGATCCTTGAGCCATAAAGTCCTGTGGCTCTGAGTTCAGAACTGTGGCTCCTGGTCTTAAAGTTTGGACATGTGGCTCGGACTCTCTCTCCCTTTCTCTTCGTATCTCTTTATTACAAGATATATATATATATATATATATATATATATATATATATATATATATATATATATATGAACAATCAACACCCGTGACTTCTACTTTACTAGACAATCCTGTATTGGATGCAGCTTAGTTTTTTTTTTGGTACTGTGGTCAAGGTTATACTGATGGTTACTTACGTGGTCAAGGTTAGACTGACGATTACTTGCGTGGTCAAGGTTAGCCTGACGATTACTTACGTGGTCA